GTCCTGGGGGACGAGATCTGCTGCTGGTCCTTCTACGGGCAGGGCCGCAAGATCGCCGAGGTGTGCTGCACCTCCATCGTCTATGCCACGGAGAAGAAGCAGACCAAGGTCAGAAGGGCCTCGGGTCTGGGTGGGGAGGAAGTGCGGGCTGCACCAGGACCCCGGGCAAAGTCAGCATATTGCGCCAGAGCAAGTCCACTCATGAGCGTCAGGAGTGTGGGGCTTGGGGGGCTTGGCTGTGTACCCTTGGACAGGCCACCCTCACCTCCATGGCTCTCTGCTTTTCTGCTGTGGCCTGCGGCTGTTGGAGTCTGGTGGACTCTTAATGTGGGAGCTTCTGGCTGGGTTCAAGGCTGCCTGCAGTCCCCTACCGTAGCACGCGGGTTTGAAAGTGTGTGTGTGTTTCTATGTAGTCAGACCTCAGAAAGGTCCCCACCTAACAGCCAAGTGAGGTCTTCTCTGCTCAGGACCACAGGGGTCCTTAGAACACGCTCTGGGCCTGCAGTCCCGAGCCACTACCGGGCCATCTGTCAGCACCTGTTTTGTGCACAACACTGCACCCAGCCAGGCCCAGCAAAGGTGGCCCAAGTGCAGAGTCACGTGTGAGCCCCTGGCCCCCAGTTCCTGCAGAGTGCACCGGTCTGGTCCTTTCCGACCTTGGTCGGACAGACCAGCGTTCCTGCACGTATCTGAGCAGCCGGGGTTCTCCCCCACCCTCTGCCGGAGCAGCAACTAGCCCCTCTTCTCGAAGTCCTTTTTCCTCCTCTCCATCTGCCAGCTGGAGTTGGATTTTAATCCCTGATTCGCACTTTCCATGAGACCCCTCACTCATGAGCTTTTTCACCCAAGACCCAGACAACGTTGGTCACACCCTCTTTGGCTAAACAGTGTCCAGCGTAGCCTGGGGCTCTTGCTTCAGCAGCAGGGTGAAGCTCTCTGTGGACAGCACTGTGTCTTTTTTCTTCGTCCAAGTCTTCGTAGTGGCCAGCAGTTTGAAGCCACTAGCCGCTCCTTGGGAAACAGGGGATGCTTTCTCCTCCCATGAAGAGTTACCGTCTCAGAAACTCACAGGGGCAGCTCTGCCCTGTCCTGGAGGGTCACTGAGCCGGCACCGACTCGATGGCAGTGAGGTTACTACTAGCCCGGCCCCTGCCACCTAGCGGGCCCCTAGGAAGCGTTTCTCTGATGTGTGTCTGAAGAAGTAAGCAACCCAGCTTCCCTGAAGCTGCGGCTGTCACTGGGGGGCCCAGGCAGCTGAGCCCACGGTTCAAATCAGCTGGCTAGGAGCTGTGTGCAGGCCATCCTTCCAAGGCCTCACGGTGAGGAGCCCCTCCCATCACCCCTCTGATTTCACCCCTGCCTGCCTCCTTGATGACCTTCCCGTCAGGATGGACTGAGACACACCTGCCCCAGAGCTGCCTCTTCCCAGACGCCTCTGCTCCAGCCGTCCACTGCCTGCCCTCCTCCTCCTCCTCTGTCTTGTCGGGCAGAGGTCCCCTCAGTGAGGCCGTTCCTGACCTCCCTTGTTAAAGTCATAACCTTCCAGCCGGGGGGTCGACCTCATCCCCTCCCCTACACATCGTGCCCTGTAGCATCTGTCCTTGCCGCCTGACGCCCTGGACGGGAGTTTGGTCTGTTTGGCTCACGGCTCTATTTCTGATGCCTGGAACAGTGCCTGGCACAGAATAGCCGCTCCGTAACGCTCTGCCAAGTGAAAGAATTTACCAAGAAACTTGGCAGGCAGAGAGTAACGCAGCTGAGTCCAGAGCCGGGCCTTGAAGTGCAGGTGTGACTTGGTGGAGCAGAGAAGTCATAGAGAGGCCAGGCCAGGGTGGGCAGACTTGAGGAGCAGAGCCAATCGGTCAGTTCCCTTGCAACAATTTAAAAATTACTCAGGAGCCATAAATAAATATATCTACAAACAAAGTCACCATTAATAATATTCTTTAAATAAAACTATGGGAGTTTATTTTCATTTTCAGTTCTAGTTCAGAGCCACATGTACATACCAAAAGAGCCACGGTTGGCTCCAGGGCCGCAGTTTGCTGACCCTGGGTCCCGGCCACAGGGCCTGTGCTAGGAGGCGTGCCCCTGTGCCTGGGGGGCGGGGCTGGCCCTGTGGCAGGACCAGAGCGGGGAGGCTCGGGGGCTGACTGGTGTTTTGCAGGTGGAATTCCCAGAGGCCCGGATCTTTGAGGAGACACTGAACATCCTGATCTATGAGACTCCCCGCGGCCCGGACCCCGCCCTCCTGGAGGCCCTCGGGGGCGCTGCAGGCGGTGGTGGGGCCGGCCGCGGGGAGGACGAGGAGAACCGAGAGCACCGCGTCCGCAGGATCCACGTCCGGCGTCACATCACCCATGACGAGCGTCCTCACGGCCAGCAAATTGTCTTCAAGGACTGACCTCTGCCCCCTGCCTCCTGGAATTCGGCTGCTCCTGTCCCTGTCCCTTTTGCTCCCCGACCTATGCCCCGGCTCTGCTGGCCAAGTCGTGGGCCATCCTCCAGGCCCTCCATTGCATGGTGCCCTTTACATATGGGCCCTCTCCATCGGTTCCGCCCCACGGCTGACAACACGGTACATTCCAGACCCTCCCCCTCAGGCAGAGCCCTTCCGAAGGGAAGGCCGACGTTCACCCAGTTAGGCTGCCCAAGCCTTGTTCCGCCAGCGTCCCGCCCCAGCTGCTGCAGGATGGCTTCCAGCCCCTTGGCTCGTTTTCCAGTCCGCTGTCCATGCCAAAGTGTCAGTCCGGCCCTGAGTAACAGCCCCCCCCCCCTTGGCCACCATCACTCCATTGTGCAGGGTAGTTTTCCGCTCCTCCCCAGCCCCCAGGTTTTTACCACCTCTTTTAACGTTGTGCTAGGCTGACCAGCTCAGCTCCCCCCTCGACTGGTTCATATTATTTATTATTTTAATTTTCTATTAAATTATTGGAATAAAGTGGAGGTAAGGGTCTTGTGCTGGCTCCCAGGGAAAGGGACAGGAAGATGGCTGGTATTAAAAGGGGGCCTGGCCAGCGGGATGGGTGGCGATGTGGGCCCAGGCCCTGAGCATCTGTCTCCCTACGCGTGATCGTAGGGAAGGAAGGAAGGACTCGGAGCTCAGAGAGGAGTGAATGCCTGTATTGTGTGCTGGCTGGCCACCCCCGCCCCCACCCTCAGGTCCACCAGCCCACCCGCGCTGTGACGACCCCTCACGTTGTCCCTGAGGGTCGCATCCCTCCAGCTCAGGTGTTGGGGGAAAACACCCTCCGAGGTCAAAGGTCCGGCGCGAACACAAAGTCGAGGGCCTGGCGTTCTGCCCCAGCCACGTTGGGGTGCCACAGGTCCACGATGAAGACCACTCGGGGCCCGTCTCCAGGGGCTCCTAGGGGACAGAGAACGGCTGACCAAGTCCGTCTGCGCCAGGAGCACTGACCAAAGACTCCCAAAGGCCACCCGATGGTAAATGCGTGCCAGGCACCCCCTCACTGCCAGCGAATTGGCTTTGACGCTTAGTGACCCCTGTGGCTTCCCAAGGCTGTAACTCACTGGGACTAGAAAGCCCCATCTTTCTCCGGAGGAGTCGCTGGTGGTTTTGAAGTGCCGACTTTGCGGATAGCCATTAGGCCACCATCGTAACCCTTTATATAGATTAGCTAGTAGTCTTCAAAATAAATTGGGGAGATAGCACCATAATCATGCCCATCTTATACAAAGCAGCAGACAGGTGACATAGCGTGCTCAAGGTCGCCCAGCAGGTGGTACAGAGCAAGGACAGGAAGCCCTGTACCCCAGACCTAGTCCCTGTGCCGTGGCACTAGGGCAGACGAAAGCCTGCGGGCACGTGCTGAGGAAGGGGAGGCCTGGGTCCCCAGGTGACTGAAGTGGTGATGCGACTTGCTCAAGGTCGTGCAGTGGGCAAACTGCCCGGACAAGAAGCCAGACGGGCTTGATCCTGTAGCTCTCCAGCCTAGGGGCCCTGCCCTCTCATCCCGAAGCCCTCCTAGCAGGCCAGACGGGGGTCCCCTTACCGTTATGCGCCACCGTGTGCAGGAAGGAGTCATCCACCAGCAGACAGTGCCCTTCAGCCCAGCACTGGGGCTCCCCACCAACCACCAGTTCACAGCCAGGGGGGATCTTCAAGCCTGTGAAGAGAGACCTACCTGGGCATCCTCCTCTCCAAGGACCTGGGCGGGTTTCCTCACTCAGGTCTGAGGGCCTGTTAAATGCCAGGCCTCCAGAGACCCGAGTATAATTATAATAGCGTGTTGGATGGAAGGCGTGCCGGGAGATTGAGCACGTGCAGAGAAGAGCACACACTACTCCTTCAGAGGAAAGGTTTTCATGAGGCCGTGGCATCTCCGGGGCTTCCTGAGTCTGCACCATGCCAGGCCCTGCCTCCCTGAAGAGTCTCTGGGAGAACTGACTCCACCCTGCCCCGAGCGGGCAGGACATGGTCAAGTGCAGTGGGAAAATGAAGCAGCTAGATAACTCTGCCAGTGGGATTAGGAAAGCATCCCAGAAGAGGCGTCCAGGAGGGAGCCCAGAAGAGGGTTTTAGACTGACGAAGGCCTTGGCATTCAAAGTTTCCTTTTCCTACCACCCCCACCCCGTCATAACAGCGTCACCGAAAACCACAACCATGACTTGAACACGTCACTGACGTTGCTGTCCCCTTTTAAACTCCGAGACAGGAGGATTTTGTTAGAATTCTTAAACGTCTTTTTTTTTTTAATTCAAATATATTTTGAGGAATATTCTCACTCTCTTTGGAGTGAAGTCATGCTGACTACTGGAGCCCTAGTGGCACAGTGGTCTGTTGGACTGCGATCCCAAAGGTCTGCAGTTTGAAACCACCAGCCACCCCAAGGGAGAAAGGGCTGCTTTGTACTCCAGTAAAGAGTTCGGTTTCGGGAGCTCACGGGGTCATTCGATCCTGTCTTTCAGGGTCAAGTTGCTTTGAGTCCACGCCTGCATCGACTCAATGGCAGTGAGGGGGTGAGTGAGCCCCGATGATGAGTTCGACACAGATTCTTTTTAAATAAGCGAGACAAAAGGTCTGCTCAGGAGACCCGTGGGGCAACGGCACTTGGCCGTGGTGGAGCGGCCTGCGATGGTTCCCAGGTAACCCAAGCTCACCTGGCGGACGGACGAGAGGGAGTCGGGGAAGACTTGGGCACAGAGAGGCCCGCTCACAGCCACAGTGTAAGGAGCCTAGAGTAGGGGGACCGTGAAGGCAAGCAGGTAGCAGCTACTTACCCAGGTGGCATCTGACCCTGGCATTGGTGGGCCCGCAGCGACCCTCAAGCTGGGCCCCAGGCAGGAGGACAGAAAAGCCAGCGTTGCCGAAGGTGTTGCCACTCATGAAGCTCCGAAGGCCCCTCAGTGCCCTATAGGCCCCCGGGCACCGGCGGCAGTTGCTGGGTTGGCACCTCCCTGCTTGGTACAGCAAGAGCTGGTAGCACCCAGGGGCCAGGGATGGGGACCAGCCCCGAGGCAGAGGGGTAGCCCCTGAGAAGTCCCAGCTCACAGCCCCGAAGTCCCGCAAGATGGCAGGGAAGCTGCTCTCTAAGAGCTCCACATCATGCCGTTGGGAATCACGTGGCACAAATGGGACAGAGGGCAGGTCCGGCAGGAAAAGCAGACCTGGGCGCTGAATGCCTAGGCCCCCTGGCCCTCCCTCGGGGCCTGGCCCACCCTGAGCTGCTCGCCTCACCCTGCCCATCCCTGCCCAGGAGTAGCGCCTGGCATAGGCTCGAAGCCGACGACTCACTAGGCCCTCCATTCTAGCTCCCTCCCCTGGGTCTCCAGTGCTTCCTGGGCTTGGCCTGGAGGCCCCAGGCCCACCACGGACCCCCCCAGCCCGGCTCCTAGCCCCCAGGGCCTGCATCTCTTGGGAGCCCAGGCGGTAGCAGTACCAGAGGAAGAGAGAAGTGAGAGCTCCAAGGAGCAGGGTAAGGGCGGAGGAGGCCAGGGGCAGCGGCCACGGGGGTGCCATGGGCAGGGAGGCCTTGGCCAAGAGGCCTGGGGCCTCCCCCAGACCCCGGTTCCCTTGCCCTCCCAGCTCTCCACCTGTCCCCTCCATAGCTGTTCCTGGGCACCCCCCTAGGCTGTCTTCCTTCCACATTTCCACACTCTCTCAAGGGGTCCCTTGAGACACACGCCTCCGTGTGTCTCTCCTTGAACTCTGGCTCTCCACCTTCATGCACCGAACCCCTTTGCCCTTCTCTCTCTCCCTTTCCAATTCTCTCCCTCTCTGGCCCCACTTCCTTCTCTCCCTGTCTTCTCCTTCCTCCACCACCACCCCTTTTCTCTCCCACCTTCCCTTCTACTCTCCCCGACCCCC